TGGACAGGCCTGTAACCAGAGCTGATCCAGAGAACAGAAGGGTGTGCTGTCTACCGGGTGCTAAGATACGGGATGTGGACCTGAGGTTGAAGAAGATCCTAAAGGGAGCAGGAAAGAATCCACTGATCGTCCTTCACGTGGGAACAAATGATACCGATAGATTCTCGCTGGAACGTATTAAGGGAGACTATGCCAGGCTCGAGAAAACGCTTAAGGAAATCGAGGCTCAGGTGATCTTCAGTGGGATTCTGCCTGTTCCCAGAGAAGGGCAACAAAGGTGTGACAAGATCATGACTATCAACAGATGGCTCAGGCAGTGGTGCTATAAGGAGGGCTTTGGGATGTATGGCCACTGGGAGGCATTCATGGACAGAGGACCGTTCTCTCAGGATGGGCTCCATCTGAGTAGGGAGGAAAATAGACTTCTAAGATGGAGGCTTGCACAACTGATTAAGAGAGCTTTAACTAGGAATCTGGGGGAGATGGTTGGGAGATGTCCAGGTAATCTCTATGCCAGATTTTAACACTGAGAGGGAAGAAAATGAAAAAAGAAAGAATACAGCTGTGGGTTGGAGAATGGACATAAGGAGGAAGGGCAGTGTGGATACCAGTCTAATAGGTCATACTGGCGGTAGAATGTCCGTGCCTAATCGGGTGAAGAAAGTGAGTGAGGCCAAACAGCAAAAATTAAGATGTTTGTACACCAATGCGAGGAGCCTAAGTAACAAAATGGAGAAACTAGAGCTACTGGTGCAGGAAGTGAAACCAGATATTATAGGGATAACAGAAATAATGGTGGAATAGTCATCACGACTGGAGTACAGGTATTGAAGGGTATGTGCTGTTTAGGAAAGACAGAAATAAAGGTAAAGGTGGTGGAGTAGCATTGTATATCAATGATGAGGTAGACTGTAAAGTAATAAGAAGCGATGGAATGGATAAGACAGAGTCCATCTGGGCAAAAATCACACTGGGGAAGAAAGCTACTAGAGCCTCCCCGGGATAGTGCTTCGGGTGTGCTGTAGACTGCTGGGATCTAATTTGGATATGGACAGAGACCTCTTTAATGTTTTTAATGAAGTAAATACTAATGGGAACTGAGTGATCATGGGAGACTTTAACTTCCCAGATATAGACTGGAGGACAAGTGCTAGTAATAATAATAGGGCTCAGATTTTCCTAGATGTGATAGCTGATGGATTCCTTCATCAAGTAGTTGCTAAACCAACAAGAGGGGATGCCATATTAGATTTGGTTTTAGTGAGTAGTGAGGACCTCATAGAAGGAATATTGTAGGGGACAACCTTGGCTCAAGTGATCATGAGCTAATTCAGTTCAAATTGAATGGAAGGATAAACAAAAATAAATCTGCGACGAGGGTTTTTGATTTCAAAAGGGCTGACTTTAAAAAATTAAGGAAATTGGTTAGGGAAGTGGATTGGACTGAAGCACTTATGGCTCTAAAGACAGAGGAGGGCTGGGATTACTTCAAGTCAAAGTTGCAGAAGCTATCAGAAGCCTGAATCCCAAGAAAGGGGAAAAAATTCATAGGCAGGAGTTGTAGACCAAGCTGGAGGAGCAAGCATCTCAGAGAGGTGATTAAGAAAAAGCAGAAAGCATACAGGGAGTGGAAGATGGGAGGGATCAGCAAGGAAAGCTACCTTATCGAGGTCAGAACATGTAGAGATAAAGTGAGAAAGGCTAAAAGTCATGTAGAGTTGAACCTTGCAAAGGGAATAAAAACCAATAGTAAAAGGTTCTATAGCCATATAAGTAAGAAGGAAAAAAAAGGAAAGAAGAGGTGGGACCACTAAACACTGAGGATGGAGTGCAGGTTAAGGATAATCTAGGCATGGCCCAAAACCTAAACAAATACTTTGCCTCAGTCTTTAATGAGGAGCTTAGGGATAATGGTAGGATGACAAATGAGAATGAGGATATGGAGGTAGATATTACCACATCCGAGGTAGAAGCCAAACTTGAACAGCTTAATGGGACTAAATTGGGGGCCCCAGATAATCTTCATCCAAGAATATTAAAGGAACTGGCACATGAAATTGCAAGCCCATTAGCAAGAATTTTTAATGAATCTGTAAACTCAGGGGTTGTACCATATGACTGGAGAATTGCTAACATAGTTCCTATTTTTAAGAAAGGAAAACAAAGTGAGCCGGGTAACTACAGGCCTGTTAGTTTGACAGCTGTAGTATGCAAGATCTTGGAAAAAATTTTGAAGGAGAAAGTAGTTAAGAACATTGAGGTCAATGGTAATTGGGACAAAATACAACATGGTTTTACAAAAGGTAGATTGTGCCAAACCAACCTGATCTCTTTCTTTGAGAAAGTGACAGATTTTTTAGACAAAGGAAACGCAGTGGATCTAGTTTACCTAGATTTCAGTAAGGTGTTTGATATGGTTCCACATGCGAAATTATTAGTTCAATTGGAAAAGATGGGGATCAATATGAAAATTGAAAGGTGGATAAGGAACTGGTTAAAGGGGAGACAACAACACGTCACACTGAAAGGTGAACTGTCAGGCTGGAAGGAGGTTACCAGGGATCAGTTTTGAGACCAATCTTATTTAATCTTTTTATTACTGACCTTGGCAAAAAAGTGGGAGTGTGCTAATAAAGTTTGAGGATGACACAAAGCTGGGAGGTATTGCCAATTCAGAGAAGGACCGTGATATCATACAGGAAGATCTGGATGACTTTGTAAACTGGAGTAATAGTAATAGGATGAAATTTAATAGTGAAAAGTGCAAGATCATGCATTTAGGGATTAATAACAAGAATTTTAGTTATAAGCCGGGGATGCATCAATTGAAAGTAACAGAGGAGAAGGACCTTGGAGTATTGGCTGACCACAGGATGACTATGAGCCGCCAATGTGATCTGGCCATGAAAAGAGCTAATGCGGTCTTGGGATGCATCAGGTGAGGTATTTCCAGTCGAGATAAGGAGGTGTTAGTACCGTTATACAAGGCACTGGTGAGACCTCATCTGGAATACTGGTTGCAGTTCTGGTCTCCCATGTTTAAGAAGGATGAATTCAAACTGGAACAGGTAGAGAGAAGGGCTACTAGGATGATCTGAGGAATGGAAAACCTGCCTTATGAAAGGAGACTCAAGGAACTTGCCTTGTTTTATTTAAGCTCAGTACCAATGTGGACACAAGAACAAATGGATATAAACTGGCCATCAAGAAGTTTAGGCTTGAAACTAGACGAAGGTTTCTAACCATCAGAGGAGTGAAGTTCTGGAACAGCCTTCCAAGGGAAGCAGTGAGGGCAAAAGACCTATTTGGCTTCAAGATTAAGCTCGATAAATTTATGGAGGAGATGGTATGATGGGATAACATGATTTTGGCAATTAATTGATCTTTGACTATTAGTGGTAAATAGGCGCAATGGGATGTTAGATGGGGTGGGATCTGAGCTACTAGAGAATTCTTTCCTGGGTATCTGGCTGGTGAGTCTTGCCCACATGCTCAGGGTTCAGCTGATCGCCATATCTGGGGTCGGGAAGGAATTTTCCTCCAGGGCAGATTGGCAGAGGCCCTGGGGTTTTATTTGCCTTCCCCTGCAGCATGGGGCATGGGTCACTTGCTGGAGGATTCTCTTGAAGTCTTTAAACCATGATTTGAGGACTTCAATAGCTCAGACATAGGTGAGAGGTTTATTGCAGGAGTGGGTGGGTGAGATTCTGTGGCCTGCGTTGTGCAGGAGGTCAGACTAGATGATCATAATGGTCCCTTCTGACCTTAAAGTCTATGAGCTAGAAACATACTTAAAAAAAATAAAAATAAAAAAATGTTAAAGTTAAGATTCTGGAGAAAAAGAGGTGTTGGTATTCTGCACTGCCACAGTGCCCAAGCTTTGCCTTGGGCAGAAGAAAATGTATTTCCCTCCCACTCCTTTGTGAAAGACCCAAACAAAACCAGGAGAAATTGACAATACACAAGAGGCTATCAAATGCACAAAGTAAACATACTGGAAAAAACAACAATTTTTGCTCTAATCTCTTCCAGTTATAATAATCTTAGCTCTGACTTGTAAAAATAGTAGATAAAAAAATTAAGTTCACGGTGTCCCTTTAGTGTCTGTCTCAGTTTCCCCATCTATAAAATGGGTATACTACTGGACAGGTTAGATCGTAAGGGTTACTGTTTGTACAGCATTTTGAAGATGAAAGGGCCAAAGCCTATTCACATATGCATGCCTGCAACTCTCAAAGAAGTCAGTGGGTGATGTGCATGTTGATTTGAAGACAAAAATTGGCATTAAGTATTATTCCGGTCTTGTACTTACATTAAGTTCTGTGGAGATTCTGTGTTAAATGGATTCTAAATGTGAAGGATGAAATGTTAACTGTCACTAAAAACTATTGAATAAGAGCAGCACATTAAGGTGTATTTCAGATTTACACAGAATATTAAAGAAAACATGAATACAGTTGTTTTCATTCATGCCAAAGTACTCAAATGTTAAGAAATATTTGAATCTGATAAAAATGGATACACAAATATTCAGTACTGGAGAGAAGACAGACTTCAGTGAAAAAGTGATTTATGTCACTACTGCATATGCTAGAGAGAGAGCTATCTTGCCCTTATGGATATAAGATTTATCTAGTTCTTTTTGAATTTTGCAGTTCACAGGCACTGTATGTATAGCAGTTTTCTAAATGGGAAGTGGTTTCTTCTCCCTCTAGGATTACCATGATCATTACTATCCACAGGCATTTTACCTATTTGTAACAGGACAGTGCATTTGATTCTGAAAACTGCTCACTCAAGTGTGAAGCTAATATCAAAAGGTATGGAGAATTATGGGTAACTGTTCGATTCAAATTTTAAATCCCCTTGTCTCTTTCCTCTAACAGGAATGCAATGAAATTTATAACTGAATTTAATCAGAAATGGTGAACAATAAAAGACTAAATAAAATAGAGAAGAAAGCGCTCAAGAAGAGGGATTCAGTTAGAAAAAACAAATACCTGCAATGAACAACAACAGGTTCTTCTCTGCCAGCCCTCTTTTTTCGTACAAGACACACAAAATCCAGGAAGTCACTGGAATCATCAGGAACCCCATGATCAGGCCATGCTACATACTGGATCTGGGTGAGCTGACGGGTTTCATTTTTCTTATCAGGAATACAAAATTTGTTCAAATGTAATTCAGACTTCATCATAAAAAACAGTGATAATCAACTACACTCCGATAATTACCTCTCATTTGGGCATCTCAAAGCACTTTATGAATATTAATTATTGGCCAACAAATATTTTAGAATCCTATTTTTCCTTATAAACAATAATAAAAGGCACTAAAATGAAAAGATTTGCATTCTTTGCATTTTAAAAGATTTTTTTCTAGCTATGCTTTTTCTGCCTCACATATCATTAGCAATACATAAGACCATAAAAATGGCCATATTGGGTCAGACCAAAGGTCCATCTAGCCCAGTATCCTGTCTTTTGACAGTGGCCAATGCCTGGTGCCCCAGAGGGAAGGAACAGAACAGGTAATCACCAAGTGATCCATCCCCTATCGCCTATTTCTAGCAAACAGAGGTTAGGGATACCATCTCTGCCTATCCTGGCTAATAGCCATTGATGAATTTATCTAGTTCTACCTGCAAATCCTTTTTTCTCAAGTTAATACATGAAGAATAGTTACCTGTAACCAGAGTTCTTTGAGATGGAGCCTGCATATTCCCACAGTTTAGAATTGACCCCATAAATTTTGCCACCAAATATCAGAAACCCAGGCTTTCGTTTAAAAATATGAAGCTTAAAGACATTGTTTTTGGAATACTATCCTCCCCAATGTTGTTTGTTACCTTATTAAGAAATGTTTACTGAAAACTGTCTTCAGAGAGACAAAACGTGTTTCTAGGCAGCAACAATGAAAAATTTCTAATGTCTATCCTAATCTAATGTCTACTGATGTTTTGAAAAGATCGAGGGAATATATTAGAATAAATCTCTAATACTTTCTTATTTAATTATTGTCATGGCTTAGCTTTAGAATTATCTTGGACCAAATTAGATAATTAACACTCATCCCAAATGACTGACGTATTGCACTGTACCCATAATGGGAACAAGATTAAATCTCTGTTCAATTCCCTGAAAAGGTACCACTAAAACTTTTTTGTGAACAAAAGGTATGTACTCATAACAAAGAAAATAATTCACACAAAATAAAATCTTTCAAATTGAGACTAATTTTCTATGGGATTTTAAAATGATCAATTAACTGGATATATTCGATAGTCTACATGTGGACGTGCTATAAAACTGGAAAGAATGTCTGCAGTTAGGTAATTCTACTTTGAGGATTCCACAGAATTTGATGAATGACTATATTATAGTTTTACCTCAAGGTTAGTCAGTGTCATCTCTCTGAAGACATAAGCAGGATTTCCTTCCTCTGAATGGCAGGTAATCTGGAAATTTCCATATGATGAGCTTCCTGTAGGCTCTGGCCAGTACTGATGGCACTTAACCTAAGGTTTTCAAAGACGACAGTCTTTAGAGTCACAGAACGTTATTTTTCCTCCTTTCTAGATTCAGCAAAGTTCCCTTCTGAACATTTTGTAATTACTGCTGACTTACTTACCGAACATACTGTAGGGGTTTATAATTGAAAATGAGCTATTAACCGCATAACTGGGAAAAAAAATTCAAACTAGTGTAATTTATATTAGTCCTGAGCAAATTAATACAATTAATCATTTTTAACTGTTTTTTTTTGCTCATATGACATAATCAAAGGATCAAATTTTGATCTGCAAATGCATGCAACTCCATGAAAGTTCTATATGAATACCTGAGGGCAAAATATGGTTTAACATTGCAGGATGTGCAGTTGCCATTAACCTTGAAGGTACCAAACTTTTCCTCTGATCTAGCTGTGTGATTATTACATAACTACACTGCCTGCGGGATCTTAACTACTTGATTTTCATACATAAAGTAAGGTAAAATCACGTAGAAGTCCTGCTTCTCTTCTCAACTTCGTTTCCTTCACACAGGCCCCAACTCTTGAGTTTAGTGTAATTGAATAGTGATGACTTTAACTTTTGATATTACTTCTTTTTAAATATCCACTAAATATTCCCTTTTGACACCACAGTGTTAGGTCCCTCCTTAGAGCCACTCCTAACTTCTAAAATCCTAAAATAATCCTTCCTTAAGGCAGATTTACATGAAAAAGAATACATGTTGTTATAATGTGAACAGGAGGAAGTGTCCAGTAAGCAATGACTAAGATTGCTTCATGGTGGGACAAAAATAAGGTGCATTAGGTGTTGAGTTTACCCAAATCTTTACGGTTAAATGAGAACTTTAAAGAAGACCAACTTTATGACAAACTGCTTCAATGCCCAAATACAAAAAGAGGTCATTTCAGTTCATGCGTATTTTTTATCTTTCTAACCCACCTGGCAGGGTCTGTAAGAGCAGCCATATCTGCAGACTTCCTGCTCCCCTGAGACACTCTGGCATGCAGTGTGATAGTGACCTCAGTAGCCCCATCATCAGCATTAGAGCAGGGAGTCCGCCGATGGGTAAGACAAATAAAGTCCTTTTATTTCAATATTTAGCAGCTCTCAAAGAATTCTATAAATATCAATATTAAAAAACCTCAGAGAACTGCTATTGTGTGTCTGTTCTTAGATCTGCAAAGAAAATTAAGTAAATTAAAAGAGCACTTGAACTGAAATTTGCTCTAATTGTGTTCATTTGGGAGCACACTGCATCATATAGTAAAACTGAGTCACTGAAAAATAGTTTTAAAACATTAAAAAAAAAACACACCTAAAATTATTTTTATGGTATTTAACAGGTCTGACAGCACAGAAAATACATGGTTATTTTAACAAGAAGAATGCACACACACAACTGAACTGAAGTCTGAATTAATGTGACTATCCTCAGCACAGACCAGTTTTGCTGGCCAGGATGATAGACATCTACTATAAAACCCACCAAATAAAACTCAGAATTATGATGAAATTTCAGGATATTGCAATCAGCCAATTATACTTATGTGTTTCAAGTTCTCCAACTGTTACTGAATGTTACAAATAATATACCAGCTGTTTTATGAAATACACCAGGTATGTGCTAAAATTTGAATGGTACTTCAGTGGACAGAGGCAACACAATGGGCAAAATTACTAAGGAGACAATATCAACCAGAGTTTCAGGTGTAGCTGACTTTCCTTTGTGAAATTAGCTAATGCCATTATGGCAACATATACATAATTACTTATAATTACTTTCTTATTTATAATTTGTACATATGCAGCTAATAACATGTAACATCATCATTTTGTATTAAAAGAAGCATATATAAAAATGGGAGTAAGCACTAACAGGACTGACTAGTCAAAAACAAATCTTTTTAAATAAAAGATTGCATATATAGCAGTCAATTTGCTAACACTAATAATCTTTCATTTGATTAAGCAAATACCCAGAGGTAGTACTCCATTGCGTGGAGGTACAGCTTGAAAGTAATAGAATCAAACAATTACAGAACTGGAAGGGACCTTGAGAGGTCATCTAGTCCAGTCCCCTGCACTCATGGCAGGTCTAAGTATTATACAGACCATCCTTGACAGATGTTTGTCTAACCTGTTCTTAAAAATCTCCAATGATGGAGATTCCACAGTCTCCCCAGGCAATTTATTCCAGTGCTTAACCACCTTGACAGCTAGGAAGTTTTTCCTAATGTCCAACCTAAACCTCCCTTGCTGCAATTTAAACGCATTACTTCTTATCCTGTCCTCAGAGATTAAGAAGAACAATTCTTCTTCCGCCTCCTTGTAACAACCTTTTATGTACTTGAAAACTTATGTCCCCTCTCAGTCTTCTCTTTTCCTGACTAAACAAACCCAATTTTTTCAATCTTCCCTCATAGGTCATTTTTTTCTAGACCTTTAATTGTTTTTATTGATCTTCTCTGGACTTTCTCCAATTTGTCCACATCTTTCCTGAAATGTGGTGCCCAAAACTGGACACAGTACTCCAGTTGAGGCCTAATCAGTGCAGAGTAGAGCGGAAGATTTAATTCTTGTGTCTTGCTTCCAACACCCCTGCTAATACATCCCAGAATGATGTTTGCTTTTTTTGCAACAGTGTTACACTGTTGACTCATATTTAGCTTGCGGTTCACTATGACACCCAGAACTCTTTCTGCAGTCCTCCTTCTGAGACAGTAATTTCCCATTTTGTATGTGTGCAACTGATTGTTCCTTCCTAAATGGAGGACTTTGCATTTGTCTTTATTGAATTTCATCCTATTTACTTCAGACCATTTCTCCAGTTTGTCCAGATGATTTTGAATTTTATCCTATCCTCCAAAGCACTTGCTACCCTTCACAGCTTGGTATCATCCGCAAATTTTATAATTGTACTCTCTATGCCATTACCTAAACCATTGATGAAGATACTGAACAGAACCGGACCCAGAACTGATCCCTGCAGGACCCCATTCATTATGCCCTTCCAGCTTGATTGTGAACCACTGATAACTCCTCTCTGGGAATGGTTTTCCAACCAGTTATGCACACACCTTATAGTAGCACCATCTAGGTTGCATTTCCCTAGTTTGTTTATGAGAAGGTCATGTGAGACATATCAAAAGCTTTACTAAAGTCAAGATATACCACATCTGCTGCTTCCACCCAGCCACAAGGCTTGTTACCCTGTCAAAGAAAGCTACCAGGTTGGTTTCACATGATTTGTTTTTGACAAATCCATTCTGACTGTTACTTATCACCTTATTATCTTCTAGATGTTTGCAAATTGATTGCTTAATTATTTGCTCCATTATCTTTTCGGGTGCAGAAGTTAAGCAGACTGGTCTGTAATTCCTCGGGTTGTCCTTATTTCCCTTTTTATAGATTTGCACTATATTTGGCCTTTTCGAGTCTTCTGGAATCTCTCCCATCTTCCACGACTTTTCAAAGATAAATGGATAATGGTGGATTTAAGGCTGATCCATGGATCTGGATCCAATTCTCCAAAGAGCTCCATAGTATAATTAGCGATTGTTGTGACATCGCAAAGCAAAATTTATGACATAGCAAAGCAAACAATACAACACCGGTCTAGGCCTCCTTCCCGAATTAAATCATCCCTGTCCAGAAACTTTAATCTAGAAAAAACGATGACTTTGAGTTGACAGAGCTCAGAAAAAAAGAACACACTCCAAGCAGGTAAACTTTGTTTACTACTTCACTGTAAAAACAGTCAGATTAAGTCTTTAAAAATTCATTTATGAAATATGAGAATCAAGACGTATACATGTTTCAATACTACACTATATGTTAAGACTAGTTGCATAATCTTGAAATAAAGGGTTTAAAACTGAAACACAGGAGACCCTTAACTGTAGCAATGCCTGTGAGCACTGCCATAAAAAAGAAATTCAAGATAGCCCTGTTCTACCCTAGTTGTTTATGGCAGATTCAAAAAGGGATTTTAAAAATAATATGTGATTAGATTTCAAATTAGTACTTTGACTTACTCTGCCCCTTTCAACTTGAGTGGTCAACATTACAACCATAGATGAACCTTGTTCCCATGTCATCTGCCAAAAATCAGGACAAGTGTTTGGTAATGGACCCTGACAAGCAATGTACTGGTTTATTATGCTGGAAGAAGAGATTTCCATCTAAAAGAAAACAAATTAATAATTATTTTAGTTAAACAACATTACTCTCTTGGCAACTTTAATTTATGCACCACAAATTTAGACTTTGCTAGATAATTTAAATTAGATTTACAAAAAATACAAGAAGAATGAATCAATAATATCAATACTATTCAACTGTTTACCGCTAGACCACAGATAAAAGAGCACACAAAACAAGAGAGACCTGTCAAGACTGAGATAAAAATCACCTTATTTAAAACCGTTAAGAAACCCAAATATTTTTCATTTAATTAACTGACAGACTTTAGTTGCCAAATACCTGAGCTGTCAAGACCACAGGTCACAATGAAGGCATATGAAAAAACGTGACAGTTCAGTGTCAAAATAATTTGGGTAGACTTATGCACATTACATCTACTGTTTACAATATTTGATCATTTAAATACTAATCCTGGAATCAAATATCTTTCCTTTGTATTCCTGAAGTGAAAAGTTAGCTGTACTTTGTTATTACTGGCTAGAAGAGACAGACCTACCAGGCTGAATTCTGCTAATATTAGTCTTGAACACTGCTACAACAATGTGCATTGGGTTACTTTGTGCTAGTTTTAACTCTAGATGGCTACTTTCTTCCAACAATGACCCCATCTGAAATAAAATTCAGGCTCTTGTTGCTGCACATAAAATCTCTCAATTTGACCGAGAGTTAGTAGGAAATTATCAACCACTGTCTTTTAGATAAACAAACCTACTAACGTTTAAGCCAACTGATGAAAATACTTCCCATCTACTCCAGTCCATGTTAGATTTGAGAAACATCTTCAAAAAGAGTGAATTATCTTATTTTTACATTTTCTGCTGAAAAGCTGCAGTGGCAATTTATAAATCAACTGTTCTTCAGAATGCTGCCACAATGTACTTACAGTATGAATGACATAGAATTCAACTCACATTTATATAATTTGCATTGATGTAGTCATCATTACTCTTCAAAATGACCCGTGTAGCATCATCTGAAAAAATATTTCAAGAACGTGTTATTTCTCTACCAAGTACAATTAAATACAGTATTTTAACTTAAAAACATACATACACATACACACACACTTACAAGGCGAAATGTCTCTATATCTATTTTTGGAAATGTTTTGAGGTAATTTGGCACAAGACATTGTCATTCCAGGCTTCTTCCTATACAGTTGCTAAAAGAGAATAAAGCTGGTCAGATAGTTACAGGCACAACATAGGACTCGTTAGCTTTACATTTACTACAGACCTTTTAAAAGCATATAAAACGAACATGAAAACATTTTCTATTCACAAGCACAATTCAACATTCATTTTGTTTTTTTACAAGATCATTCGAGCAGCTGGACTATGTGCTCACTAAATTCGCTCAAAAGGCACAGGCTGGGAAACTGATTCGTAAGCTATTGTAGCAGGCATGCGTCTGGACAATGGCCAGTACTACTGGGGACTGTGGGAATAGCAGAGACAGTCCACTGCATCTTAGCATAGACCTTACTGGCTGTGCTACTGCTACACCCCGAGTCTGCCACCATCCTCCTCCTACACAGTGCTTCAATGAATCTCAGGCTCCCAGTAAATGGGGTGTGTGCGCAAGCATTCCCTCTGCAGGAGTTCTGCTGCATTCTGGTACATAGGCAGTTATGTGGAGAGGCCAGGAGTTGCTGCCCCTAACTGAAGCAGCACACTTCTCAGTTCAAAGAAATATAGTGAAGAGTCCCACACTGCATGGGATATTACACAGATAACAACATATACCTCCTGAAGACTCAGGGTAAAATGAAAAACACGTTAATACAAATTCCATTTGGATTATTAAGAACAAGTGTATATCTCATCCTAAGTTTGGATGGCACATTATAGGGAGAACAAACAGTCCCTGCCCTGATGATTTTACAATTTAAGCTAGGCAATGTGACATAACTGCCTGTATTCATGAAGTATGCATAACGCTACTTCTATTCTTTTTTCTTAATTTTTCTTTTTATGTATTTATGTTTATTAATTTCTATTTTATTTAGTTTGCATCAAAGCACAAATCATTATAAGAGAAACTTTGGAAGACATATGTTCTGTATTTCTCTTTAGCTAATGTATTTCAATCCAAACATAAACATGGAAACAGGATTTTTCTTTTAACAGTTCATTTTGGCTCCTGCTTTTTAATCCTTACTTGGCCATATTCCTCATTTCCAATGTCACATCTCGGATATAACTAAAACAAAAATGGATTGCAAGGCCATCTATTTTATGACTGCTTACACTATAATGATCATTACTTTAAAATATTAAGGAGTTTTTTCCTCCACATCACTTTAATGCTTCACATATACAGACGCTTCCTGGGTTACGCAAGACACGACTTACACAAATCCACACTTATGGAAAAAGCTCCATAAGCAAGAAATAGGAGTTTTGTGGGGTTTTTTTTGCATAATGGTTGGGTATACGTTTCTGACTTACGCAAAACTCGAGTTACACAAGGCCTTCCGGAATGGAATGATTGTGTAAGTCTGGGAGCATCTGTAGTCTATTTACTCCTGTAAAGTTATTTTTGAACAATAGTTTATTTATATCTAATACTCTGCTAACACTCAATTCCATGAACCACATTCATCCATCCATTAGTATAATTAAATATAATTTATTATTTCACTGTACCATGCCCTCATTCACTGTTGAGGTTAGGCAGGTACAATTCCTCCAAAGTCAATGGAGTGACACTCATTTACTCCAGCGGTAAGTTTAGCCTCAGTAGAACAAGAGTAGAAGTTTAATCATGACTCAAATTATGACTGAACAAGAAGAAAAAGAGCTGAAAAGTGAGCTTGGATATGATCGCAATGGCATCAAAAGCTATTTTATTTAAGTTCCTGCATGAAATTAAAAGAAAAGATCAAATCATTACTGTACATCATGCAAAACATAAATATGATCTGAAACGGAAAATTATTTCCTCAAAGCATTAGTTTTAATAGTTCTACATAAAATGAGTGACCCAAGTCAGCCAATTTTCAGCAATCTTTGTTTTAATTCAATAAGCTTAAAAAGGCATTGCTTTAGTCTTAATTTTCAGTTTAAAGGAACACAAGATTGGTAAACCAAAAATATGATTTTCCTTTTTAAAACTGTTTGCCAAATGCATGCATTTTTTGTACCATTTAGTACAATATGAATGCTTTTTTTAAAAAAAACAAGTAATCTACATGATAGCCAAATGAGCAACCCCATGAAAACTAATCACTATATAAACATATGACGGAGGAAAGAGTTTGGCAAGGAAACAGATTTCAAGCTTCCAGCGAATTACTATATATACCAAGTAGTAAAAAAATGTCAACAGCTATGAAAATTGCTCTATGTAATTTATTGAGCATAAACCTGTCCTAAAGAGATTCCAATCCAATTTAAACACAGTCCATAAATCAAACCCACATACTTTAGGGTCTGATCCTGTTTTCATTAAAAGAAATGGGAATTTTGCCATAGAATTAAGAGAGAACAGGATCAGGTCTATAAAATATATACCATATTGACATTAAAAGGGGTATCTCCATTTGTCTAGTTACTTTAGTAATGTAATATATTATCTTGTCCTCCAGCCACATGACCTAATTTCAGAAACTAAGCTGGGGTGAGCTCTGTCTGTATTTTGATAGGATACCACCAAAGAACACCTAGGGGTTGAAGAAGTGGTTGTGTTGATTCAGAAGATGGTATTCTTCTCTGTCAGTCAGCAATGAGCCAATGTACAAGCATGGTATTAAGGGGAACTGCACTACTCTCTTCAAAATAAATAATGAAAATCAACTACGTATAAAAAAATTCTATTGCATTTTCCTAAAATTAGGGTTGTATTTCCCAGTACTCTGTCCTAATACTTAAATTTCATCTAAAATCTTCCCTGCAGTTTAAATCATTTATGGTATTCTTCACTTCTTGTTTTAATTTAGGTTTTCATCCAGATGTGGGTAAAATGAACACTGGGTCTTGGGTAAAGCTTCCTACACCCTTTAGGTATTCTTGAATATGAAAGATGTTATATAAGCATAAGATCATTATAATTACAAAAACTTGGGAGTTCCAGTTATAAACAGCTTTACAGTGTACTAAAAACATTTAGATTGTACTAGATAGGTAATGTTTATTCTATGGTGACTATTTTGCATCTGTAGTGTTTCAACACAGAAGTTTTTTGATGTTTGGCTGTTCTTTCTTTACGACAGATGAGTCAATTGCCTTGCTGACAGATTCTAAACTCAATCTAGTATCATTCAAATTTGTTCTGTTGAAGCTAATTACCCAGAAAGAGACTGGTATGTGCATACAATTATATTGTACATTACTTACATCAAACTGAGCCAGAATAGTTCCAGTGATAAGCCCCTCTGCTAGTTGAATCATAGATTCCCGCAGAGCATCATCATCCTGATGGACACCATCCAGGGGGGATTTCTCAGGGATGTACTGGAAGTCAGGCTCACTCTCCAGCTTCTCTTCCACCACATCATAGACAGCTACAATAAATAAAGGTAGGAAGGTTGAGGGAGGTGCTAACCTAGCATGTTCTTTGGCCGTAACAGTGAATGCTCACCTTTTAAATAAAAAAAAAGGCAATTCAGTATTGCTTCTACAGGAAAATCTGTGGTAGAGTACCATTAAGAGTCAGACTTTAATCCATATCAACAACAAATTCAGTGTTGAAACCATTATGCTCCATCCTAAAACTACATTATTTAGTTTATTGTTGAGTAAGAAAAGGATTTTCATGTAATCAATACTGCTAAAACCCTGCTCCCTAATCCTAGACATATCTTGCCTTGTTTACTGTAACTTTCTCCTCTTTGGCCTCCCCAATTCCCACATCACATCCCTCAAGTCACCCTAGTGCCTATGTTTATCTTTTTTGTTTTGCGTTTCACTTTGCAGGGAATTAATTAGGCTACGGCTGGCAGACTGCTGGCTAGAATGGCACTCGTAGGCCCGACCACAATTCTGTGAACGTACTGTGTAAAAGTACTGCCTGTAAACACACATGTATTCGGATACACACCGCGAAGCATATACTACGACTAGCACACAAGTATATGCTCTTCTGAAAAGTTTGCCCAGAGAGCAGAACACTGTAAAAACGTGAATGAGGAAATTAGGGCGACTTGTAAATTCTGCATTTTAAGGCTTTTTATTCAAGCCACCACTATAATCAACACACAAAGGGGTATTAACTTGGTAAATCTGTAAACCAATTTAGCAGAATTTATTTTATATGACTATGACAGAGGAAGAAAATATGCAAAAACAATGAAAATGGCTTAAATACACAGAATGAGAAGTAACACAATTAAATAAAAGAAGCCAGAATCATTTATCAGTTGGTTGAGGTGCTCTAGTGGAGTGATTTCAACTATTCCAATTATTTCTCAGTATACTTTTCTGCTACATGGCTCTTTATTGTGATTGGGTAGTGGAGCAGAATTAAACACCCAGCAGCTGACTGTTGACAACATTCCAACAATATATATGCCATGAACATACTGTATAAGCTTGGTTTTTTTAAGCATTTTCTTTTATTAAGCTGCCTCCAGTAAAAATGTTGCCAATAATTCTCAATTGCTTTGAAGATATATTTTAAGTCCTTGAATACGATCAGATCTATGAGACAAAGACATGCAAAATTGCTGTTTTGGGATGGACTATCCTCCGCACTGAAATCAATTTGTGCAATCATCTGGCCAATTTGTACCTAATGTGATTTAGGAATAAAATGTATGTGGAACCTTCTTGCTAAGAATACCCAATTATTTTTCATATCCCGATTTTGGGGATTTAAAATTTGTTTTGAACACTTACAATTACAGGTATGAATGCTTGCAGTACAAGGTATTTCTCTGTATTTGTATCCGATTGAAATGCTGCCTTCTTGTTGTAATCTTATGTACTTTTTCTAAGGGGGAGCACCTTTCTGTGAAGAGTATTAGCATCCTTAACCCAGGACACAATGTGAAGGCTAGGGAGAAGGAGAGCGAAGATTTGTTGCGTTACATATAAATCACTCACCATTGGGTCGTACTAGGAGCACAAGTTCCCCTGAGTGCCTCTCACAGCTCTCTTTAATAAACATGACAACTTGATCATGGGTATGTTCCGCTATATCCCTGCCATTTATCAATACAACCTGGTCCCCTTCATTCAAACGAGGGACACAGAGGTCAGCCTGCAACATGAAACAAATTTAGTTTTACAAACACAGAGCACTCTAAAAACAAAGCTTTTGTATTTTGTTACTTTAAAATAGGAACATAAGAAACAGCGTAACTGTGTTCAGGAATGTGGATTCTGCCAGACTCATTTATATGGTTGCCACATTGGATTAAATGATATATAAAGCATTACATAACACAGCAGACAGTGCCATTCATATGAATACTTCAATTCACAACCAGGAGGAGTCTGTCATTCCAACATGCTTTTCTGCTGCTGTTACTCCCTGCTCCTTGTATGTATGCTGAAGTTGAATGCTTGGATAAGCTCTCCAGTGTTTGAATTGTATTCTGCATTAACACTGGGGATGCAGGACAAGCTCAGAAATCTCAGAAAGGAGGGCAGCAGCATGGCAAAACCTTGACCAATTCAATTTCAAAATCTAAGAGCAGTAAGCTTCTAATATCACATTCAAGGCAACAAAAAAAAGATTGGGGGCGGGAGGCGCAAGGGAAATGCACCAAAGTAATCCGGGCAAAAAGGTAATCCTGCAAGTGAAAATACTATCTATGTTACAATTTAACCATAACTGCAGAGAGGAAAGGGCAGTGCATTCCCCATTTATCATCACCACAGCATTGCTAGATGTTTAATCCATTCATACAAAATTAACTGCAATAGAAACAAACCAATTTGTGATATAGAAAATAAATTAGGAAAAAATAATTAACTGGGATAACAACAATCTAATATAAGGATGTCAACATATAAATTTTAATGATTTTATTTAGATCAAAGCTACTTTGTTTTTTTAATGTAAGCAAATGTGTGTCTTATTCTATTAATTTCTGACAGGTGCACAACACAGAGCTGGCATCACAAAGGCTGAATACCAGGTCATTATTTCTGGCAATCAACTGCCACAATATTGTGCCTAGTTTGAAGACATTAATGGTGCTCACTGAACACCAGAAACACCACCACAGAATCAGACCTGATGAATGATTCATTATGTCTAGTTTAATCTAAATCTTGACATTACTCACATCTGCATGTGTCAGTAAAAACAAAAGGGATTTGCAATTTTTAACAGCATAAAAGTTTGTCTCAACACAATTTATGTGACAAAATCCCATGAATGTTTAAATTAAAAATTTATGCTAAATAACAATGTTTTTAGGGTGAGTGGGGCATTATATATCAAGAGTCAAGTAACAGCTATTATAACTTATTGTAACCACTTGCAGTGATGAAACTTTGTCGTATTGAGAAAACATTTATTTTTATTATTAAAGCATGCACCACACTAAACTATGAACTTTAACTTTCCTTAAATAAAATTAAATAAATAAATAAGACAACTCACTTACAGATAGCAATGTAAGCAGTTTACTTTTATTTAACATTGGAATTTGTAGAAGAGCATGTAAGTGATATTGGGGAGACTATATTCTGTCTGTAGTTTATTTTCATTCCACTGTCCTCCTTTAATTAGCAAAAAAGTATTTTTAACATGTTTTAAATATACTTAATTCCAACATTTAATTGACCATTACTTTCATTTATTATGTGAGGCAGTTAAAGAACAAGCTGCCAACAAGGTATGGGGACTACTACCTTAAAGGTAATACGTTAGAGCAATTTTATTCCTAGCAAGGTGTGGCCAGAACGTTTTTCCTCAAGGAAAAAGAAAACACAAAGGAAAAGACTTACAATAATTATAACACCACATATAATTAGAGAAACAAGGTGGGTGAGGTAATATCTTTTATTGGACCAATTTTTGTTGGTGAAAGAGAGAACAGCTTCTCTCTCTCATCAACAGAAGTTGGTCCAATAAAAGATATTACCTCACCTATCTTGTCTCTCTAATATCCTGGGACCTACATAGCTAGAACAGCACTGCACACATTTAATTAAACACCACCACTTCCAAGTTTTTCTGACAACTTACTGGTGTTCCTGGAGCTACCCTGGACACAATTACAGGCATCTTCTGGTCATATCCTCCCTTAAAAAAAAATTCAGCAAGTCACAAATCATGAGTGTCACTGAACAATCTTTAAAAATATGAATAGACATCTAATTTTCATTACCTTTACATTGAAGCCAAATCTTCCATTTTCATCTGGTTTCATTCTGATCAAAACAAGATTGTCATGGGGAACACCACCATTGGGCTAAACAAAAAGGAAGTACATAACATTACATGTAATTTATTTTCAGCTAATGCAGGCTTTAAAGAAAGATTACTCTAATACCACAGCTGTTCCAAATGTACTCATCAAATGTCCAGTAATTGCTATTGGGCCCTGAGAAAGCAGCAGTAACCATGCAAATTGTTTGTCTCACCCTAGTGTGATATGGGGAATCGTGCACTCAGAGTTGCTGTTTACAGCTAATCTGTAAATGTGTTCTCCTGGAAGCAGGCTGGCGAAATAGGGAACTACCCAAATCATAAATTGACTAATAAAATTACAAGTCATTTAAATATAACAGTTACTGCAGTATCAAGTGGATATGTTACAAATTTTGTGTGACTGCAGTAAAAATGTATTGTTATGTAGCTTGGCCAGGTCACATAACTTGTGTGTCTTAGTTTGCACTGGCTGCAACTTCGGTTTAATAATGGGGGCAAGTTTTGTAGGACCAGGAGCTCCCTGCTACTCACCTCTCCAGGAAGAGTTTGAAATACTAATGTGAGGTTTACTACTCATGCTCCAGGGCTGTGTGGAGAGGAATATGAAGTGCCCTATGCTGACAGAGCTTGGTGACTATAATCCCCCCTCCACCCTCCCATGTCTTTTATTTGATTGAGGCAACATCACAACCCCTCTCCCTCCACCCCACAAACTCTTATCAGGAAATTTCCATCCACTGTTCCCCAGACCTCCTCCCACATACAAATGCAATTATACATATTTCCTATGCCTCATTCAGCTCTTTCAGAACAGCACTGACCCTGGTGGCATGACACAGCCATCTGTGGAAGCTATAGACCAGAATCTTGTGCCTTTCAACAAGGTGCTATTTCAATGGCTTTGAATTTGCTTGAACTAGCCCTTCATACTTATCCAGGGATGTGAGGTGGGTTAATCATTGTTTTGTACAGCACTTAGAGGAGGATGTAAGATGTTAAACATTTAACAGTGATACTTCAAGTTAAAGGAACCGGTATTCAACTTTTTAAAAACCCACCTGTCTGTTGCCACATTGGATTATTTGAACCCTAAAAAGTTCAACTTGCAAAAGAACTCTGCAGTGTATGGTTGCAGGGGCTGGAAAGGAAGTGTAAGTTCACCTGGAGGATCCAGTTTGATGAACCTGAACCTTCAAAAGAAACCTCCTCCTCACAAACCAGCTACCCTATAACTGACACGACTACATAGCAGGAAGCCCTTGATTCCAGAAGATATTTACGGTGTTGGAGAGAGGAAGGTTGGGGATAAGAAACAGTGTAAGTCAGGCTATGCATGCTGTGTGTAACTGCAAGCCCTGCAAACTTAACTTGTGCTTTGAGAGTGAAACTGAGTTTTTTTCCCTCTCCCATGACGTTCCGATTTAAGGGCTCAGTGCATCCAATTAGACCTTCAATATTACACCTGTGCAGTCCCAGTACCTTTACTGGGTTTGCACAGGTTTAGCTCGTTGTAGCTTAATAAACATTATGTTCACAGAATACAATGCAGCTTATTCTCTCACAACTGCATTTTCTTTGCCAGGCTAATGGGAGTAAAAAACAGTTGAAAGGTATTTTTGTCACTTGACTCAACTAAACATGACTGAATGCAGGAAGAGATTTGGTAAGGTGTTATTTTTACAAAGACAAGGGAGATGAGGTAATATCTTTTATGGTCCAACTTCTGTTGGTGAGAGAGACAAGCTTTTGAGCTTACACACAGCTCCTTTTCAGGTCAGCTCTAGCCTGAGCCTAAAAGTCTAAGGAGCAATGAAACAGAGCCAGAGCCTACGTCGGCTGACAAGGGCCAGTCGTGGGTTTTTTGTTGTTGTTTAGACATACCCCAATATCCTGGGACCGAGATGGCTACAAGAACACTGCATACAATAGTGGAAGATGATATTTTTACACAGTCATTTTTCAGAGCAGAACTACATTTTAACATGACTTGGGTTAGCATAAATATAGAAACAAATGGCTAGAAGTTTTATTTCATAGTTTAATTTAAATGAAATGTATGCAATGTTGCCAACTATCACAAATTTATTGTAAGTACACAATATCTGGTGTGACTGCAGTAAAAATGTATTGTTATATATCCCCAGCTCAAGAATCATGCTTCCATTTATAAAAATGTTTTTAGCCCTCAAGATTACAGATACAATCTTGAAAATGTGACCTAAATGAACCCCCCAAAATCCAGAAAGAAAATAATAACCCGAATTTATATTTTTTAAAATCTTAATGTTGGGGGGGTCTGACTCATGATTTTTGGAAGTGTGATATTGGCAATACTTTTTATGTAGTATTTACACATCTGCCTTCTTTTAAACCTATGGACAAATTCACTGCCAAAATGGGAGGTTGATTAGAAACATCTGCAAGTACAGGAAACCTAAGTAAGTGTCACAGGGATAAAGGATGTCCCTACAATGTCTTTGTATGCCATTCCAATAATGTAGGTTAGTGAAACTGACACGGGAACACTGAAAAAATGGAAAGATTAGTGGGGGCGGGCCAGTGAGAAGATCTGACTGGTGAGATTATATCTATATATATATATATGACACAAATGGCTGCAATGTAATGCATGCATATGAGGCCCACTGAAATGTATCAGTACTGTAGTTATTTCTACAAAAGCAGGACCATCATCCAGACGAAAAACAAGATGATCAAACTTGACACATCAACTTACTGTGGATTTTTCAGGCGATGCGGGAACATCAAACGTTTCATTAATATGGTTATCCAGTTCTTGCTGGGAGTGTGAATAATGAATTTGGTTCCAACTGTTCTTTTTAGATTGTTTGGGTGGTAGTGCAGGAGGCTGCCCATCTATAGGGGTCTCTTGGGATCTAGATACAAAAATAAAATGGTGGAGGAAGAAAATTTTATCTGAAAATTCTTAGGACTCCAAGTAAACTGAACAAGTGGCTAAAAGAACCCCAGAGTTTGAGAGTTACAAAAAAATCTGACATTTTTGTTATCTGAAGGGTTCAATTTTGTGGATAGGATTGTTATGGCATATATGCAAATACATCTGTTGTGTAGAGTATATTTAAAAAAGAATTGTGAACATTCAAAGCTTGATTAAGCCAGAGTATTCTTGTTCAGTGTATTGTTTCTTTTAAACAGTTTACCTACTCTTTTAATCCACTTGATCAATATGTTGGAGATTGCTTTATAAATCTCATACGTACCTAGAAATCTATTTCTAAAACAAATATACATCATTTTATATTTTTTCCCAAGGAGAAAAGCAATTATTTCACATCTTAGACTGCCTGTAAATTAAACCTTAAAAATAAAGCTAAATTTAGTTTTGAACAAATTAGCACAATTAAGAATCGAACAATATGCATTTTTTGTACTTTTAACAGCAAGATGATTTAAAATCCAAGCCAACATGAAAAAACTTCACACACTTTGTGCATTAGTGTCTTAAAACCACATTTTATTTGCAAGTACTAAACATATGATTGTGGATGCAATTCACTATTTTCCACTGCCTAATTTGCAATTGAGTGCATATTACTCAGCAGCACATTTTTAAATAGTACCTTGCATACAAAATTTAGCCCAAGAGAAAATATGTAGAGTCAATTTTTTTTTAAATGGCATTTTTACCATGGATTTACCAGATTGATCTTTAACAATACCGCCAAAAATCAGAGTAGCTCCACCAAAAGTTCACATTTCTAGACTAACATGCACACTTGTTAGGTCTGAGACTGTGGTGCTGTAGCTTTAACAGCAGCATCCTACTTTATGCTGTGTATTTATCTATTATAGTGGATACTCCCTTGACCACTTTTTATGGCATAAGAATTTAAGTGCACAATTTTCTCATGACAAATGCAGGACTCATCTTTCATTTTAAGGCTTTATACTTATAAATGAAGTGGAAGATTTTCAGAGGCACAAAGGTGCTTAACAATCTTTGACTTTGAAAATCAGCCCCTAAATGCTAACAATGGTACAGACCTTCCTATCCACCAACTGCGTTAAACCCCGTTTTTATTAAGCACCTACCTACTTATTTACTACTCAGATGGAGCACTACAATAAAACTAGCGCCTAATCCTGAAAATACTTATGCACATAAATAACTTTACCCCTGTGAGTATTCCCACTCAACTGGTCTGATCATATATGAGCCTTATTTTGCTAACAGTTAATTATGAGACATCATAACACTTCAACTCAATTTGCTGCAAGATCTAAAGTATCTTGGACAGCCATATGTGAAACTTAATACTGTATAGTTTATTTCATTGTGATTAAAGCAAAACACAGTTCACAAGGCTATGGTCATTTGGTAAAAAGGAAAAATATGGTGGTTGTTATCCCAGTAACATTAAATAAAGAAACACATTATGTATTTTCTGATAAACAAATAATTTAAGCCACAAGAAAAGGTCTTTGCATATGACCATGGAATGAGAAAAGGAATATTTCACTTAGAAACTTATATCGCTTTCCCCCTGAAGTTTTGATGAAATATAATTAAGGCCTTTTTTTATTAGGTATTGACTGATTTCCCCCCCAAAATTCCCAGGTTTTTGAATAAGCCAGTTTTGGGGTTTTACTGATTTTTCACACAAATTTTGGCTTTTTCAGGACTCAGGAATTTTTCAAAGGCAAGCAGATGGGCTGTGTTGAAAGGCTGGTGGGGGTAGGGGGAGTTGGTACTCAGGGTCTGCAGCCTTCCTTTCCTCTTCTGACCCTGGCCCTTCAGCGTGGCCCGGTTCGCTCCCTCTGTGAAGGTGAGATAGCATAACTGCTGCAGGGACAGGGCTGCAGGGAGTAAAAGTCTGCACCCTTTAAATACTGGCCCATTCACGGACAGAGCCCCCTTCTGACCCTGGTCCTTCAGCATAGGATTGGATGTGGCTGCACTGGAGGGCTGAGGTCCGGAGGGGGTTGTGTCCATTAGCGGAAGCAGATGGGGGTCTTGGCTGCCTGGACCAGGCTCCTTGACCATCTAGCTCCCTGTGACACAGAGACCTCAAGGCAAAGGGTCCAGTTCTTTTTTGCAAACATGCCCTTAGTCACCAGGGGATAATATATCTCGGTGATAGCCCATTCAAACAGAAGGGAGTTGTCACCCTGTCCTGTTTAGCCAGTGGTGTAATACCAGGTTCAATGGTCTAGACTCACTCTATCCCAGGCCCGGTACCGAGTCAGGGAGTCTCCAGTATGTCAAATACTGAGAGTTCTCTCGAGTGTGTGAATTCCTGTGGTACTGACTGAACCGGTGCCTACGACTGTCAGTGGGTCAGCATGGAGGCCATCAGGGATCTTGGCCATACTGAGTGCTCAGAGGCTGGATGGTTGCTAATGATGGTGCTGATGCTACTACTAATACTGGCAGTATCATCTTAGCAGTGGTGCGGCCTCGTCCTTACCTTTTTCTGTCCGTACCATTTAGGGTGACCAGATAGTAAGTGTGAAAAATTGGGACGGGAGTGGGAGGTAATTGGCAGCTATATAAGAAAAAGCCCCAAATATCAGAACTGTCCCTATAAAATCGGGACATCTGGTCACCCTGGTACCATTGCTTTGGTGCCTATGCACATCTGGTCTTTAGGCCCATCAATGGTACCTGCTGCTTCAGTAACATACCTCACGGTACTCTCGTGAGCTATGGGTACTGTGTTTGGACTGTCTCAGTACCGAATGCGCCAGTGATCTTTTTTGGCTAGTTCGGGGCTCACTCTGGGGACTCTCAGTTCTGTTCTTTTAAGCCTTATGCAAGGGGGTCTTCAGCTGTTTTCTTTGAACTGTAGACCCTAGATGTCGAGGGCTATTGAGAAGATTCACACTGTCTGGGTGACTCCTGGCACAGATCCGGGGAGGGCTGAAGAGCTGCCTCCATAAGGAGGCGCTTTTGTCTCAGTTCTCTATCCTTCCGAGATCTGGGCTTGAGTTGTTGGCAGAGACCATAGTTTTGAGGAATATGGCTTTCCCCAGGGCAACGGTTACAGAGGGAATGTTTATCCACTACGGGGATGGCCTTCTTGCACGAGAGGAACTTCTTAAAGCCCGGTAAACCAGGCTTACTCTGTGCTGGGGCAACCCCAGACAAAAGGGAAAATAAAGTAGGGGTTTTTTTTGGTAGGAAAGAGAAAATAAAGAAAGCTCTACAACTTTAAAAGAAAAAGGATTAACTAACCACTGAAATGCTGAAAGTGAAATAACGATCCGATGAATGGACAGCTAATAGCCCCGTCTCTAGCCAGAGGCAGTTATGAACGAACTGAGAGGGGCTTGCCCGTGCAACGTTGAGGGGCGCAGGGGAAACAGCGCATGTGTGGGCCGAACAGACAGTGCTGTCAAAGTTCTCCGATCCGCACTGCAGGGATGCAAGTGCACCTACAGTGGAGCACTCATAGGGACACTACCTAAAGAACCATTTCTTCCCATCACACTCTCGTTTCTAGTTAAATCTCTATTCTTTCTTAAATAAACCTTCTTTGTCATTTAAAATAAGATTTCACAAGTGCTGTACGGTTTACAGGAGTAGTGGTTTAAGGTAAAACTAGTAAACTGAGGCACACTGCTCCTTTCGGGGCAGAAGATCTGGGACTTCTCTGAGTAGCCTCTTTCAGGGACTGGGTATCACAGGGGAATGGTGCAAATGGAACAGGGATAGGGTGCACCTGTTAAACTGCAAGGTGAAGACAGGGTTTGCATAGCCCGGAGGCAGTGGCGCCGGAAATGGGGAGGCCGCACCAGCTCACCACAGCTACCCAGCTCTCCCCAACCTGGCTCCAGCTGGCCTTTGAGGGAAGAGGGGGCAGAGGTGGGCCCTCTGGGGAGGGGCCTCGGGGGACCAGGCCTCAGGGAAAGAGGGGGCGGGGAAGGTTTTGGGAAGGTTCCCACACCCTTGCTCAGAGAAGAGTGGCTGAAAGGCTGGTGGTGTTAGGGAACTCTCTCACACCGGACGCAGGGAGCAACAAGGTGACTCATAGTCCTGCGTAAGCGAAGAACTGTAACTGCAGCAGCCAGGGGTGAAAGTGAGCTGGTACGGTGTACCAGTAAGAACCCGCACCGGCCCATACCCAGCCCACATTAAAGTGCTCCCTGCCCCTTTTGCCTCCTCTGTCGGCACGGACCCTACCAGCAGGGCCGCTGATGGGGTGGGCACAGCAACATTAAAGCGCTGCCGCGGCAAAGGACTGTCCTTAAAGCGCTGCCGCGGCTTTAACATCGTTGCCCCTTCCCCGTTGGCTGCCCTGCTGGTAGGGTCTGTACCGGCAGGGCCGCCAACAGGGGAGGCAAAAGGGGCAGGGACATTAAAGTGCTGCTGCGGCAAAGGACCCTGTAGCGCTTTAATGTCCCTGCCCCTTTTGCCCCCCCCTCCTCCCCAGCTGCCGCCAGGCCTGGGGCGGGGGTGTGGGCAAAGGGAGCAGCTGTCCTGGGGCTGGAGATTTAAAAGGGCCTGGGGCTCCGGATGCTGCTGCCCTTTAAATCAACGGGAGCCCCGGGCAGCAAGGACCACGCAGCATGGAAGGGCTGGCTGGAGGATGCTGACCCCCGCCCCGCCCCTTCCGCCAGAGGCCCCGCCCCTTCTGGGGGCCAGAGCCCCCCCGCTGGAGCCCAATCCCCGCCACCCGGTAAGTGTCCTCAGTTACTTTGACCCCTGGCAGCTGCTGTCCCTAGGGCACAGAGCCCCATCTACTTTTTCTGCCAGACAGAGCCTGTGTGGGGGAAGCAAATGGGGCTGCACTGAATAGCTGAGGTTGGGAGGGGGCACTGCCTTGCAGGGGAACCAACAGTCACAGGGTGCAGTCTTTTGCTGCCCTTCTGACCCCAGCCCTTCAGCATTGTTCACTACCTTTGCATTGGGGGG